AGTTCAAGTAAATCTCAGAAGTCATCCATGTATGTTTTTCAGAAATAATATCCGTAATTTACACTCATACTTCTTTTACTAAAGGCTTTAAAGAAAAGAATTACTTCTTGCACAAAAAGAAAGCAAACATGGCTTTTCTGAATGAGGGATAAATATTTTAATAACTAAGCCAGCCATTCCTCAGAGACCCCTTGTACATGAACTTCTTCAGCTTTCCACCATTTTTAATTTGACCCATTCTTAATCAAAATCATTCTGTGCTAGGTTTTTGCAGAATGTCACTCTCACTGTGCATATCCAGAAGTCTCTTTGTCTCTTCCCCTACCTCAAACATTTTAATGCAAAAGATCTCTCTAATGTCCCGTCTAACGCCGGAGGAAAATGCTGAACACAAAGTGGGATGAATTCTATAGGGGTGAAGAAATCATAAACATTTTCTAGACTTTAAAAAATTACTTTATGCGTATGGGTCTGTAAATCAGTGGATCCATTTAATCCAAAAAAATTATGTTCAACCCATCTGGGTTATAATTAGGGTATACATAATTTTTTTTCTATTTCTGTAATGGATATTTATGCTAATCGGTTGTTTTTAGTTATTTAGTTTTGCAAAGCTTTATGCAGAAGTATAGATTGTTATGTTTAACATATTTTAAGTATACTTTTCACGTAATTATGATAATCATAGTGTGTGATCTATCTTTTGAAATATTTAAAGTGATACTATAATGTCTGGGCAACCATTAACATCAACAGTTTTAAGACAACAAAGATGGCGTCAAACTGGACATATCCTGAGAGGAGATGAACAGAGAATCACTAAACAGGCACTGAAATAAGAAAGACAGGGACTGAAGAAACAAGGAAGTCAAGGAGAAACCTTAAGATAATCACTGATGATAGAAGACAAAGGGGCTAGACTGAATTCTTTCCATGATATCCAAGTGACTGCACCGGACAGAACAGACTGGAAAAATAGACTGTCAGCTCTACGTGACATGAAGTGGCACAATAGGATAATGAATGAGCGAATGTCCTGTGTCCACCTTCAAGCTGACTGACTTCTGCCTTGACCTCTGGAACCACTTCTGTTCTTTTTTCCTTTTTTTTTTTTTTGAGCCCCTGTGATATTTCACGTGAATAAAGTATTTCAGGTAATGAGGCCTCCGAAATGTCAGTATTGTCAGTTCTTTTCTTTATATTGATTTTTAGTATTTAAAAAAAATTATGTAACTAAAGTTCAAAAGAATCCTAAGCAGATAACCTTTAGTATATTTACATTTGACTATTAAGGAGTTAAAATAATAACTATGATAAGCATTAGCAGTTTTAGTAACAATCAGGAAATGTGGGTTAACTAAAAACCCTGATAATATAAAGATAGTAACCAAGAAATTTACAATGAACTTCTAGACAGGAAGAGAACAATTTGTGAAGAAAATAGTTAAGGTAGGTTAATGTGTGGGCCAAGTTAACTAATTTAAAGACAAGGAGGGTAAATGGCACAGTTGGTTAGAAAATCATGAAAGGATCCCATTTCATGCTCAGATCTCTGCAATCTCTCTTTATCTTTCTTTCTGTCATTTACAGATTAAATATGGAGTGGCTTGACAGGTATCTTGCTAAGTAGGGAACTCCCACTGTGATGGCTATTAAGTGGTATCCATGTTGTAAGTCGGGAACTCCCACTGTGATGGCTATTAAGTGGTATCCATGTTGTAAGTCTTGACCGTGACAGATAAGTTTTATTTTTGTGAATGTATATGGCTTAAAAGTCTATGGTTAAGCACCAGCAAGGAGATCAAAATTAGAATTTTGAGAGCATGCATCTTCCCTGTGGCTACATATGGATATGAGTCGTGGACTATCTCTCAGTCCTTGAGAAAGAGAATAGGGGCTTTTGAGCTTAAATGTTATAGAAAGATTCTCAGAATCTCTTGGACAAAGAAGATGAGAAATATTGACATCTTAAAAGATCTGAACATCAAGAAAGATTGGCTAATAAACAGCATCCTTTCTCAAAAGCTGAAATATTTTGGTCATATCAAGTGCCACGACGGATTGGAAAAAATTATAGCAGGAGGCATGGTACCAGGATGGAGGGGCAGGGGATATAGGTGACTCCTTGAATGTGAAAATGCATGAGGTGGGAGAACTGGCGAGAGACCGAGTTTCTTTCAGGCAGACTGTGATGAGAGCAACGTTCTGCAAAGGACCTGCTACATGATGATGATGATATGGCTTAAACCTATCAGATCAAGGTTGTGTGCACATTATAATCCTTTGACTCTGGCAGATCAAGGTTGTGTGCACATTATAATCCTTTGACTCTGGCAGATCAAGGTTGTGTGCACATTATAATCCTTTGACTCTGGTAGATCAAGGTTGTGTGCACATTATAATCCTTTTTCTCTGGTAGATCAAGATTGTGTGCACATTATAATCCTTTGACTCTGGCAGATCAAGGTTGTGTGCACATTATAATCCTTTGACTCTGGCAGATCAAGGTTGTGTGCACATTATAACACTTTGACTCTGGCAGATCAAGGTTGTGTGCACATTATAATCCTTTGACTCTGGTAGATCAAGGTTGTGTGCACATAAAAACGCTTTGACTCTGGCAGATTGGGATGCTAGCGGCATAGGCAGAGACAAATAAAAAAGGGTTACTTGATGTTTATTGAACCACAATGTGTACAACTGCCTCCTGAACCTCCACAAACACACCAGACTATTGTTCTATAGATGTGTGTCTATTTTATTACTGAATACTGTATAATAGGATGCTGACCAATCAGCAATGGTGGAACATCAGACACTGTTTGTCACATGATGTTAGCAAATGATATATAAGCAGCACATTACAGTAGAAAATGGATCAATTATATGCAGATTACATTCAGTTATAGAAACCAAATGCATACATTTCTTGATGTGAATGCTTGTTTGCTCTATTTCTAAAAGTAAAAACATACACACACAAAAAAGACAAGAACTTGAGGTCAACAATAGTTTGTGTTTATAATAATAAAAATCTAAATTAATTCTGCATCAACATTATCAAGTATCCTGTCAACTTGTGTGGATGATTTTGGCTCTCAACATGGAATGATCTCAAGGAAAATATCGATTAATGAAGCTATGTGTTCTAAGCCCTTGTGCAAGGTAATATTAAATCATAAGCTGTGTTCTGAGCTTAGATAAAATGTTGTTACTAGTAATGTTCTATATTCAAAGCTCTGATGAAATGTTGTTACAAGTAATGTTCTATATTCAAAGTTCTGATAAAAGGTTGTTACAAGTAATGTTCTATATTCAAAGTTCTGATGAAAGGTTGTTACTAGTAATGTTCTATATTCAAAGTTCTGATGAAAGGTTGTTACTAGTAATGTTCTATATTCAAAGTTCTGATGAAAGGTTGTTACTAGTAATGTTTTATATTCAAAGTTCTGATGAAAGGTTGTTACTAGTAATGTTCTATATTCAAAGTTCTGATGAAAGGTTGTAAAAATTATTTTGCTATACTTTAAATCTTGCTGGAAAGTTGTATCTTGTAATGTGCTATGTATTAAGCTTTGGTAAAATATTATATTAATTTATGTTTTATATTCCAAGCCTTGATCAAAGGTGGTATCAAATTACGTCTTGCATTCCATGCTTCATTTTTTTTTTTTACAAGAGACAGTGATGGACATTCTGTGTGGTTTTTGTTGGCATGTGTTTTTGTTGGCACAAGAACAGAACAGATATGGGGTGACCCAACTGCTGTGAAGTTGGAAGTGCCATGACCTGATTCCATGCCTTGATGATAAGTTGACTAAAGTCTTCTCTTGTTGTCTTGCTTTCAAAATCTTTATAGTTAGAATTGTTTCGGTGTTTGATATTTTTCAGTGTGGCAACTAAACATCACCTGCTATTTAGGATCAATTGTGTTTGTTTCTTGTGTCTGCATCTCAGTCTTTTTCGAAACATTTAAATTACACATTTTGAATATTTAAAGTATTGTCGTATTCTTCTGCAACTCTACATGTATGAGACTAAACAGTTTTTCCAAATGTATCTATATTCACATCTGCATGTTAAAACTAGCTCTGTATAATGTGAGAGGATATTTTCTCTCCCACTGACAAGAATCAATTTTTTTTATAACAGTATCTTTAACTTTTTAAGTACCAGGAGACTTACCTAACATTTCTTAGTAAATATATAGGGGGTGCTGCATGGTCCCGAGGCATGGTGTCTGCCTCGAGTGCTAGAGGTTCCGGGTTTTTTCACGTGGACTTGGACTTGAGTTAGAAGAAAAATGGAGAACATATGGGTTACCTCCCATGTGCCATGGTGTTGATCCATTGTTCAAACCTCAAACCTCAAATCTCAAACCTTTTTATAAATACATGTATGATTTACATTTGTTAACTTCTTCTGACCCAAATTATATTAAGTGGCATCCGAGGCTTAAGTGTTGGGAGTCCGACTCCTAATTCCAACGTACCACAATCAAAGCCCACTGCTAGCTGCATGCATTTGTATCATGATATGGGGCATCACAGGTTGACCCAGCCTAAAATGGGTACCAGGACGTATGTCCTGGGGAAGTAAAGACAGCGGGCGTAACTGACCACATTACCCACCTAGTGCCGATTGGTCTGAAATATGGGTGCTCTCTCCATATACCCGATGTGCCTAAAGACATGAAAAGGGATCTTTACTTCCCTTTACTGATTATATTATGTTACTTAAATTCCTTCTGTCTCACAGTTCTATTGTTTAAATTCATACAGTCTTAAATAATATTGTTCGAAAGCACAACAAACTGTGATAGAAAGTAATTCAGCAGCTGCGTGGGACTCAGAAAAAAACTAAACACTCACGTCTGCAATATTCTGTCCAACTGGGACAGCATATTCAGTTTAGCATTGCCAGTTTCTTTATTGACATTTTAAAAAATTTAACAAAGTCGAACTATCACAAACTAGTCCACAGTAAGTCAGCAACTACAGTCACATCAGGGCACATTTTCCCTTCAATTTGTCCCGCCTTTTCTGTGACTTGGATTTGTTTGTTTCCAACTGCAGACTAACTGCCCGCCTTTTCTCCAGCTGAAGCAGCTCCTGAAACAGTTCTTTGACATTATGATTGGTCTTTGCAGAAGTTTCCAAGAAAGCACAATTCCACCGTTTTGCTAACTCTATTCCTTCTTGCACTGTACATTCTCTATTCACATCGTCACATTTATTCCCTACTAACATCACAGGAATGCCTTCAATATCTCCCTTCATTTCTATGATCTCATCTCTGATTGGTTTCAGTTCCTCCAATGACTGACGACTAGATATTGAATATACTAATATAAAGGCGTGGCCTTTTGAGATTGACAGGCGCTGCATTGCTGGAAACTGATGGCTTCCTGTTGTATCTGTAATCTGAAGTGTGCATACTTGCTTGTTGCAACTGATCACCTGTAAAAGACATCAGAAAATAGACACATTATGTATTTGATTAAATTAAGCTCATGAGAACATTACAAAGATCTCTATCAAATCACAAGTTTCTCTATGGCATCCTGTTCAGTCTACACCAGACAGCACCTATAAACACAAGACTCCCTGTGAGTTCCAGGCTCTATTGTGGAGAACAAAAAGACCCACTCTTCCCCCTCCTCCATCCAACAGGCATGTGGTAGGAAGTGACTAATTAGGGGGATTTCCTTCAAAGTTAGACTGCCCCTGCCTGAGAGGCAAGGAACCAATAGTCTGCGTACAAATATGCCAGATCTATAAAACGGATGTATACACAAAACTCTAGTTCTGGATAGAGACCAAATTCTGAGAGCTGATGAACAACTAGCCGCAGTCTACCTACAGCTGCTAAATGTTTAGAAGAGTATACAAAAGACACTAGGCTAACTGTTGACAATTGACAACATGGCCGCTATGGTTGCCAAGACAGACAACTCAGTTCCTTGGAATGTCAAGAATAGACAACTCTAATACTCGGACTGCTGAATTCACTGTGGGTTCCAGGAAGCCCAATTAGGGGTGTACAAAAGAGTAGCTTCAATGACCCCCTAACAAGCATGTCATAAAAGGCCATTAGTTAAAGGTTAGCTGAAATTAGATGTGTTAGGCCAAAAGATGAAGATATCACAGCCTAGCTGTAAACCATGACACTACCCTTTAAGAGTGAACAAAGAAGAAGAAGGAGGAGGAGGAGAGGGAGAAGAAAAAGAAGGGGATGAAGAAGAAGAAGAAGAAAAAGAAGAAGAAGAAGAAGAAGAAGAAGAAAAGAAGAAGAAGGAGGAGGAGGAGTAGGAGGTAAAGGAGAAGAAGAAGAAGAAGGAGAAGAAGAGGAAGAAGAAGAGGTGGAAAAAAGGAGGAGGAGAAGAAGAAGAAGAAGAAGAATGCCAAGAGGAGACAAATCAGCAATTTTTAATATCAGATGGAGACAACTCAGCAGCTTTGGTTTGTCAAGATTAGGCAAATAAGTAAGTATGGTAATTAAAGAGTGGGCAAATAAATAGCTTGAGGACAGAAAAAATAGCAATAATTAACTGTAACTGGTGAGTCAATTAATTAGGCAAACAGTGAGGACAAAATCAATAGCATTTAACTGTGTGAGTAAAGATAATGATAGGTAACTGTGAGGACAAAGTCAGTCATGTGTAACCAGCCATGAGGACAAAGTCAAGTGTAACCATCCGTGAGGACATTCACTTACAGGTCACCATGAACACACAGACACTAGCAACTGACTGTGTGGATAGTTACTGGTCTCTGAGTGTAAGTTCACAGTGACACAGTGTCATGCTATATAACTGTTCAATGAGAAAACTTTTCTATTGGTTTTCAGCCTGCAAACTTCAACACTCAGTACCAGCTCTCCCTCACACCAGATTTTTTTTTTTCCTGACCTAATAAAGGAAAAGCAAATACAAAATATGGCCACAAATTGTGAAACTCTGATTTGGCAACCTTGTATTAGACACTCGCAGCTCATGAACTTTGATATTCAGAAAATTTTATTTGCTTCCATCATGGTTTCAATTTATTTATTAAAAAGTAATTCGGCGATAATTGCTTTGCTGGATTGCACAACTGTTACTTGGTCTCAGTTCTGAATGAAACACCTTGAACTATAAACTTTGACATTTTCAAAGAATACCTCACATTTTTGCCTCCCTGTAATTAAAAAATGACAATTAACGCATGTTGACAGCAACTTTGTCAATAATTTCAGAGGCAAGAAGAAATGCAAATTACATCCACCATTGATTTTTCCGTTCATATGTTGCTGTGGATAATCAAAGTTTACTTCTGTTTCTTGAATTTCTAAATTCACTTCTGTTCTGCCTAGCCTGTCGAGGGGAATGGAACTCTTCAGTCGATATAACTAAAATAACTGGCATAAAACTGAAATATCGGCCATGTGCAACCAAAAATAATGAACAAACAACTGAAATATTGACGATGTTCAACTTAAATAACAAGTGCACAACTAATATTTTGGTCATGTATAAATAAAATAATTTGTGCATAAGTTAAATACAAGTAGAACCAGAAGTAGGGCAGGAACTAGCACACTTGCCTGGTAGCCTGAGAGACAACTGTTCAGACCACCATCTAAGTGGGGGCTTATTTATACCAAAATACTGATTTTCATGTACAGCTGAAACAGGAGTTCAGTGGCACAGTGATAAGCTTACTTGATAACAATACAATGGCTTGTGTTTAAATCCTTACTGAATCTGGAATTTTTAAGATACTGACCTTATTTTTATTGTTGTCAATGTAGAAGAAGAGAAAGAAAACAGATTCTGTTTTGTACCTCTCATCATCGCTAGTTATCAGATGTTCTATATCCTCTCCATGATGTTGTTGACATAAGCATTCATAAGTGATCTCCCTTGCTATGGGTCTGCTGCTGTTCTGTCCGCTGTATCCCATGTCAATCTGCATGATGTCATTTCGCTTTCTGCTGTCCTCTAGGTTTTCTTTTGTCATCCTTACGTCCCCTTTTCCCATCTGCTGTCCATCAAAGAGCTGTCTTTGCCAAAGTGTCATGAGGCATTTCACAAACATGTCTAACCAATGTCAATGCACTGGTAATGTCTCCAGTGATAAACATTTTGTTTTCCTTTCTGTTCACTTTCTTTATGGTACTTTTTAATGTCTCCAATATTTGACTATTCCATTTTCTGTTGGATCGACTTCTAGTTCTGTTACCGTTGTATCTGCATAACTCTGCTCTCTGTGGTGCCCTCCATGTTTGTTGCCAGCTTGTTACATAGTGAAACCACCTGATCTGTTGCCAACTTGTTACATAGTGAAACCACCTGATCTGTTGCCAGCTTGTTACATAGTGAAACCACCTGATCTGTTGCCAGCTTGTTACATGGTGAAACCACCTGATCTGTTGCCAGCTTGTTACATAGTGAAACCACCTGATCTGTTGCCAGCTTGTTACATAGTGAAACCACCTGATCTGTTGCCGGCCTGTTACATGGTGAAACCACCTGATCTGTTGCCAACTTGTTACATGGTGAAACCACCTGATCTATTGTCTACTGATATCATTAATATAAAATAGCAGATAAAATAGCTATGTTACTTTCAAACTGTCTCATTCCTTCATTAATTGCTTTTACTATTTTTGAATAGGCCAAACTAGACACTCTAAGTTTCAAAATGTATTTGCCTATTAACTTTTTCATTCTCAGATATATGTTGATTTAACTCCTAACCTTCTAAACAGTAGTTGCTTTAAATCATCATGATAAGGTCTGAAAAGGCTCAACTTAAAGACAAATGAGACAGTCACTGAAGTAACAACTGGCACAAAAAGGGTTAAAGCTACAACTAGATAAGAGCATGAGGCACTTAGAAAGGCAGAACAAGTTAGATAACTCTCATGATTGCATGATCAGCTGCTTGATAGTGAAAGAGGATGATAATTTTTTATGTGGCAAGATTCTGATCCGTATAATAAAAAGATTCCCTTAAAAACTTTAAAACACATTGAACAAATAACCTCAATCCCCACCCCCTCCCCTCCACCTTTCCTCAAGATGAAATCACCATTTATCACCTGATGTGGTCAATATCCTGTTAGCTGCCTCTGATTTCTATAACACAGTTTACTGCTACCAATTATTCCATGCAGTTCAGATGGCATTTTAATGATTTGTTTATAGGTCATCAGAACTGAATCTTTGACTGCAAATATCCGCTGTGTTGTAAGTGGCATCATTACTGGTATATATTCTCAGTGACATTTCTGTTTCATCATGTTGAAGATCCTGAAAATAGTTTCAGGTGCAATAAGGCGTTTACTGTGTTGAAATAATATTAGCTGGTATACTGTCATTGTCTTGTTGGGATATTCCACCTATGTGTCATTTCGCAAACTTCTGTTTCACCCAAACCTCACATTGTTTGTTGAATGTCCTCACCCAAACCTCACATTGTTTGTTGAATGTTGTCACCCAAACCTCACATTGTTTGTTGAATGTCCTCACCCAAACCTCACATTGTTTATTGAATGTCCTCACCCAAACCTCACATTGTTTGTTGAATGTTGTCACCCAAACCTCACATTGTTCGTTGAATGTCCTCACCCAAGCCTCACATTGTTTGTTGAATGTCCTCACCCAAGCCTCACATTGTTTGTTGAATGTCCTCACCCAAACCTCACATTGTTTGTTGAATGTTGTCACCCAAACCTCACATTGTTTGTTGAATGTCCTCACCCAAACCTCACATTGTTTGTTGAATGTCCTCACCCAAACCTCACATTGTTTGTTGAATGTCCTCACCCAAACCTCACATTGTTTGTTGAATGTCCTCACCCAAACCTCACATTGTTTGTTGAATGTCCTCACCCAAACCTCACATTGTTTGTTGAATGTCCTCACCCAAACCTCACATTGTTTGTTGAATGTCCATGACTCTCTCCACCACAGATGTAGACTGTTCTTCTTCTTTTCGTTCTCCCTGCCAGGTTTTTACATGTGAAGGCCACAAGCCTTTTATGAAGTCTGTGGTGCGCATTCTACTGTTCCATCCAGCTTGGTTTCCATTGGAATGCCAGCCGGCTAAAAATAATCACACTTTATCACTGGTAGCTTAAATTCTTAATTTAACTTTTTAAATGTGAGAGTTTGCATTGGTGAACAATACTTTGGCCATTCCTACAGTCCTTCTTAATTTTTCCTGGGAACTTCCGCAAGCTCAGTGGTGTGAGTTCAGATCCACTTTAATGTGGGTTTTTAAAAATGAACTTACGGGAAATGCCTGGTGGAAGTGTGAGTTCAGATCTGCCTTAATGTGGGTTTTTAAAACCGAACTTACGGAAAATGCCTGGTGGAAGTGTGAGTTCAGATCCACCTCAATGTGGGTTTTTAAAACTAAACTTGTGGGAAATGCCTGGTGGAAGTGTGAGTTCAGATCCACCTCAATGTGGGTTTTTAAAACTGAACTTGTGGGAAATGCCTGGTGGAAGTAAAGGTATGCATCATGATGCTGATGGCAGCACCCAGTCTATGCAAATATTAGTCTAGCATCCTATACCCAATGGGACAAGAGCAGGAAATGGGTGCTTGTCTTGACATAGTTGCTTAGATGTCAGACGTAGTTTTGTATTGCTCAATATTCTTTAGCCATTTCTATTTTGTTTTTCTTTTCTGTTTCCTAAGACACTTTTTTCCCAGACAGTAATATCCTGTTCAACTCTTGTAAGCTACAACTGTGAATACAGTGTCTGTGGTTATAGTGATGATGACAGAAGGCAAATAAACAACAACAGTGATAACAGTTACAATCACAATGATAACAGTTACAATCACAATGGTAACAGTTACAATCACAATGGTAACAGTTACAATCACAATGATAACAGTTACAATCACAATGATGATACAAGTGATGATAAATTATTATGTGATCAAAGGTAAAGTCAGCGGTGATGAAGGTTTTTGTGTGTGATAATGATTAGATTATGATGATGATTATGGTGTTAATAATGTTGATAAAATAATGGCAGAATAGAGGGAATTAAAGAGTATTCTGTACAGAATAGAGGGAATTAAAGACTATTCTGTACAGAATAGAGGGAATTGAAGGGTATTCTGTACAGAATAGAGGGAATTAAAGGGTATTCTGTACAGAATAGAGGGAATAAAAGGGTATTCTGTACAGATTAGAGGGAATTAAAGAGTATTCTGTACAGAATAGAGGGAATTGAAGGGTATTCTGTACAAAATAGAGGGAATTAATGAGTATTCTGTACAGAACAGAGGGAATTAAAGAGTATTCTGTACAGAATAGAGGGAATTAAAGGGTATTCTGTACAGAATAGAGGGAATTAAAGGGTATTCTGTACAGAATAGAGGGAATTAAAGGGTATTCTGTACAGAATAGAGGGAATTAAAGTGTATTCTGTACAGAATAGAGGGAATTAAAGGGTATTCTGTACAGAATAGAGGGAATTAAAGGGTATTCTGTACAGAATAGAGGGAATTAAAGGGTATTCTGTACAGAATAGAGGGAATTAAAGGGTATTCTATGCAGAATAGAGGGAATTAAATGGTAGGGCAGAGACACTAATGTAGAGCTTTGAGAGAGAACTACACAAATTCCAGTGAATCATGACGTGAGGAAAACATGCTGAAGTTGGACAGGCAAACAATAAGAAAACAATGAGATCACAACATCATAGATGACAATATAACTAGAACGTTTTTGCATTGGAACTGACACATTAAAGGAATAAAGGCACCCACATACACATAGGAGAAGACTAAAATCAAACGTAACAAAGACAGGAAGTCATGGTGACAGACAACTTGATGGGAGCTGGTTGAGGGCCTATGCTATGTTGTTGGGTGACAATAAGTCCCACCAGAACAGTCCTGTTTTTATTCGGTGCGTCCAGGCCACACAGAATGAAGCCAAATGTCCTCTAGATTTTATACAAATCTAGGAATAAGCTTGAGAATAAAACACAAGAGTGACACTGAACAATACACTCAAGTACAAACTGAAAAAGAAAGTTTCTATTTCCCTACATTACGTTAGTGGAACCAATAAAAATAAGGCATGCAATCAAAATACATAAATATTTGTTAATATTAATTAATTACTATGGCGTATATAATTTAAAGGTCAGTATATTCTCATGAACTTAAAACATACCCAGTTCTTTATTGGTTATATTGATTAATAAAAAAAAAAAAAAACAATAATAATAATAAATTCTAGAAATTGTGGGGTGGGGATGGGTGGTGGACTGACTTGAGATGTCCTGTCTTTAGCTTATAATATTACGGTCAGCCTATCTGTTGGGGAATCAAGGGCAGACAAAGAAGATAGTGATGATGCTGATATTGGTGATGAAGATAATCACAACAACGACACACATACAAGCAGGCAGCAACACACACCTGTCTGTCAACGACACTCACCTGTCTGTCAACAACACACACCTGTCTGTCAACAACACACACCTGTCTGTCAATGACACACACCTGTCTGTCAAAACACACACCTGTCTGTCAACAACACACACCTGTCTGTCAACAACACACACCTGTCTGTCAACAACACACACCTGTCTGTAGGTATCCTCTATGGTCGGAATGTAGTTCTCCCTGAAAGTGCCTTTGACGAACCTCAGAACCAGCGAGCTTTTGCCGACTCCACCAGCACCGAAGACCACCACCCGGTAGTCGTTGGACTGTTCAGGCATCACCCGCAAGCGAACGGAACGGTCTTTAGGAATCTGTGAACACCAGGTAACAGAATAACTATATGAGATCTGTAGATAATGTCGGACAGAACAGTTAACTATCTAAGATCTGTAGCGGATAGAACAGTTAACTACCTGAGATTTGTACATAATGTCGGATAAAACAGTTAACTATTCGAGATCTGTAGATAATATCGGACAGAACAGTTAACTATCTGAGATCTGTAGATAATAGCTGATATAACAGTTAACTATCTGAGATCTTTAAATACTGGTAGATAGAACAGTTAACTACCTGAGATGTGTAGATAATGGCCGATAGAACAGTCTGAGATCTGTAGATAATGGTAGATAGAACAGTCTGAGATCTGTAGATAATGTCGGATAGAACAGTCTGAGATCTGTAGATAATGTCGGATAGAACAGTCTGAGATCTGTAGATAATGTCGGATAGAACAGTCTGAGATCTGTAGATAATGTCGGATAGAACAGTCTGAGATCTATAGATAATGGCAGATAGAACAGTCTGAGATCTGTAGATAATGTCGGATAGAACAGTCTGAGATCTGTAGATAATGTAGGATAAAACAGTCTGAGATCTGTAGATAATGGCAGATAGAACAGTCTGAGATCTGTAGATAATGTCGGATAGAACAGTTAACTATCTGAGATGTGTAGATAATGGTGGATATAACAGTTAACTATCTGAGATCTGTAGATAATGGTGGACAGAACAGTGAGGTAACCAAGATTTGTAGTTAATAATAAAGGATAGAACAATGATCAATCTGATATATGTTGATAATAAAGGATAGAACAGTGATACATCTGTACTGAAACTTCCAATCCCAAACCTGACAGAACACAGCAAACGACCTGTAGTCATCGCTACAAACCCACTTCACAAGTTACAAGTGTTCAAGTTGTCACAATCCATTTCAGTGCACCAAATTTTATCCACACGGCTCGGTCTCTCTCAGCAGAACGGCTAGTCGCCTGCCAAGAGCACCGCACACAACAGGAACCCCGTAGCTCCGGCGACGATCCCTAGGAAGCTTAGTAAAAATTACCAGATTACCAGTAAAAATTGGATTCGCGAACAGAACGACGCAGCCATGAGGTGATTACAAATTAGGAAAGCAGACTACAAACTCCCGAACATACTCGACTAACATGGAATATCTTTGGAGATTTCAGCGGACCAACTGGCCCAAAAAGCGCAGACAAACGACGAAGCTGAGTAAGTGACTTTCTGCTGGCGACACGAAGACAGCACATATGTGTTTAGAGTGCAACATAACATGGAGGAGGAGGAGGAGGAGGAAGAGGGGAAGAAGAAGATGAAGAAGAAGAAGAAGAAGAAGAAGAAGAAGAAGAAGAAGAAGAAGAAGAAGAAGAAGAAGAAGAAGAAGGAGAAGAAAAAGAAGAAGAAGAAAAAAGAAAGAAAAAAGAAAGAAAGAAAGAAAGAAAGAAAGAAAGAAAGAAAGAAAGAAAGAAAGAAAGAAAGAAAGAAAGAAAGAAAGAAAGAAAGAAAGAAAGAAAGAAAGAAAGAAAGAAAGAAAGAAAGAAAGAAAGAAAGAAAGAAAGAAAGAAAAACAAACGGACAGACAGACAGACAGAGAAGGAGTAGTAGTAGTAGTAGTAGAAGAAAAAGAAGAAGAAGACGGAGAAGAAGACAGACAGACAGACAGACAGACAGACAGACAGACAGACAGACAGACAGACAGACAGACAGACAGACAGACAGACAGACAGACAGACAGACAGACAGACAGACAGACAGACAGACAGACAGACAGACAGACAGACCCCATATTGGAGAAAATAAGAATAGACTCACTGCACTCCTAACAAGCATGACGTAAAAGGCGATTAAATCTGGGTTTGCTAAAATAGAATGTTTTGAGCTGAAAGGCGCAGATATCACTGTCTCCCTGAAAACCACAACGCAGTTTACGAACAGCCCTTTTAAAGTCGAACTCAGAAAAAGAAATGACTGGCAATTTTTTTCAGGCATGATTCTCTACATCTGTGACATCAGTAAAGAATTTTCTTGTTACTGTCTTATTATTGTTCAGCATTCACAGTCATATGCCACAAAACTTCTATGGAGCTGTGTGTGTGTGTGGGGGGGGGGTGGGGGGGGGGGGGGGGTTCGTCCTCCTCAAAATAAATTACAACCTTAAATGAATTAGAAAAGTAGACCATAATATATACAGCTGAAAACGGGACAACCTACTTATATTCTGAGCTGAAAACGGGACAACCTACTTATATTCTGAGCTGAAAGCGGGACACCCGACTGATACTCTGAACAGAAAAAGAGAAAGACCACTAAAATTCTGAGATGAAATACTGAAAACGGGATACACCAGTAATACTCTGAGCTGAAAACGGGACATCGCACTAATAATTTGAGCTGAAAACGGGACATCCCGCTTTTAATATAAGCTGAAAACGGGACATTCCAAGCTAGTCAACAAATACTACCCCCCACACCCCCTGCCCCTGCCCCCCCCCCCCCAACCCCCCTCCCCCCATCCCCCCCCAACCCTTTTCCCTCATTTTTTACCTTTCTCTCTCTAGGTCACTGGGGTGAAGCTCTGCCGTGGTATTAAAACCTGAACCACTGCCGAAATTAACGAAACTATACGCTCAAAAGAACATTTCCATCAATGCATTTCAGCATTAACAGTAACTTGAAGCTCGCTGACATCTCCATAAAGTTCCTCCTAAAAAAAATTGGCCTCGAGTGCTGGAGGTCTCGGGTTTGGGCCCCGGTGAAGGACGGAATTTTTCCACGTGGACTTTTAGAGATTTCCCCTGGCCTCTAGGTAGTTAGATCGGACGCATGTGTGTATTGTTGAACACGTAAAAAAAAACTTTGGCAGTTGGTAATTGAAAAGAGTAGCCTAATGGCGCAGTCCGGGCAAAATTTGTAGTTAAAAATCTACATACTGTATTTCAGGATTCTCGCCAGTGCTACGGAGATCGTGCATTGCGCTGAGATTCTTTGGAATCGGGCTTGTTAGAAGTAGAACGGAGCACTTATAAGTTACAACTCTTGTGCCAGGATGTTGATCCGTTGGTCAAACCAAACCTCCTCTAAAAGTGTTAGTGTCAGCTAAAACAGTTTTCTCTTCCCGCCATATCTGTGCACGCAGCAAATGGTTTCTCTCTCTCTCTCTCTCTCTCTCTCTCTCTCTCTCTCTCTCTCTCTCTCTCTCTCTCATTTTCCAGTTACATTCGTGGGTATGTATTATTTTTAATTTATGAAACAGGTAATATCTGAGCCTCTTACGTCACGTTTACAGCCCAAGGACCCAATCATAAAAAACTGAAATATCACTTTTATATCACGAGCTTAAAATACGAGATACCGACCAATGGAACAAAGAACTGGTGAGTCATCATCAATTCTCTAGTGGCACATGATGCTTCGGAGAGGACTTTCCTTGCTCTCCTGTCCTGTGCAATCTTCAATGCAGTTTTTCCATGTCAGAGATACCGAATTCAGGTCACACTCATCGTTCGTCTCCATGTTGTTTTTGGGCGCCCCTTCCTTCTCTTTCCCTCTGGTATCCATGTGAGAGCTGTTTTGGCAGGCATATCAGGATTTATTCTCATAATGTGGCCAAGCCATTTCCATCTTCTCTTGGTTATCATACTGTCTACAGTTTGCTGGTTTGTGACTTGAAGTAGTTTAGTGTTTGTGAGATTGTATGTGGCCAGAACATTGTGATAATTCTACGTAGACATGTGAGACTAGTAAAAACATATACATATTTATATGCAACTAACAAAATATAATTGTTAAAATACAACAAACTTGAAAGACATACAAACGAATGTGACTTACTATTATAAAAGAATTCTAGACTTCCAGAAAATCACCAGCTCAAACAATATTAAATGGTTTGCAGGTAAAGACGGTAACTGTTGACACAAACTGAGATAAATGGAAATCAGCTAGCATGAGCTGTAAGCATCTGGCACTAAGGGGAGACGATTCCTGCCTGTCTCATGGGTGGAGTCAGCCACGGACCGGGGGGCAGTTGAAAACAATCAATGCTTGTCTGTCTCGCGCGCTGCGCGTCCGCACAGAAACTAAACATACCTTTGCTTCCGTTGCATCGTCAAAGTAAGCAAGCAATCAATGTCTCAGTAAACTGTTGTCTTGAAGAGTGGTTCTTACACTTTTTACTAGTGTAACCTGGCGGCGCTGGCACACACACACACACACAAAACATGAGGGCCGGTGGGCGAGGGGTTTGCTTGATACTATTACTATTGTTTTGGGAGGAAGCGAAGATTACTCTGAGATAATAACGCAGAGATTACTCTGAGACAATAATGCAAAGATAACTCTGAGAGAATAACGCAAAGATAACCCCGAGAGAATAACGCAAAGATAACACCGAGAGAATAACGCAACGAAAACTCATAGAGAATAACGCAAAGATAACTCTGAGAGAATAACGCAAAGATAACTCTGAGAGAATAACGCAAAGATAACTCTGAGAGAATAACGCAAAGATAACTCTGAGAGAATAACGCAAAGATAATTTTGAGAGAATAACGCAAAGAAAACTCTGAGAGAATAACGCAAAGATAACTCTGAGAGAATAACGCGAAGAAAACTCAGAGAGAATAACGCAAAGATAACTTTGAGAGGGAGGGGAGACGTGAAGTATACGAATTGAGGCAAATTTATCTATAGTATAATTATTCTTCAATTACACACAAGAGTTCCCACAGACGAAAACGACTGTTTGGTTCCTACAAGACAACAAAGATTTCAACTACAATGGGGACTCTAGCAGAAACATGTAGCATATAACTGCAAATATCGCAGTATATGCTGGACTGACCTACGGGGAAACATATTTGTGCTGCTATCAAAAGACCAGGAAGGTTGCAAAAACGGTCAGTGGCCCTGAACAGGACTGTGAAAAATAGGCGACCAAATCACACAGTGGCCAAACAGAATATGTCACCTC